ATAAAGCAATCTGCTAAGAAACATCGACGATACCTTCTCGTGAAAAAAATTGTACACCTAAATAATCAGTTCATCGGCAACGAAACTTTCAAATACAGTTGTTTTAGAATTCTATCTTTTTTCAACTATTTTTTAATAAACAAAAATTTCAACTGTTTTAACAAAATTTTTTACCCGTTTGCTTGTTCGATTAATTTTAAACTTCAAAATGTCAACTTAGTGCTCCCCCCTTCTAAAGAAAAAAACGACCTAAAATTTTGAGATAGGTAAAATAGAAACCTAAAAAAGTTTTTTCATATCAGTAACTGAGGCAAAACGTACACAGATACAAAACTTTTGGTGGCTTTTTTTTTTTTCTTTTAGGTTATGACAGAATTTTTTTATTTCATTTAGCAAATGCAAAGTTGGTTATCGTTTACAGTATAATCGACGTTAAATCAAATTTCTTCCTCTCTTTTTTCTCTTTTCTTTTTAACCAATTTTTCTCAGCATAAAAAAAAAAATGTGGCAAAGTCTTTTTTCATTTGATTCATTAAAATATTTATTTTCAAATTATACAGTACTAATTTTTCACAAAGGATTTTCTTTCTACACTGCTCTTTTGTTGTAATCCAAAATTGCAGATCAATTAAAAGCATAAAAAACGAAGTAAAAAAAAGACATTAAAAAGCAAAAATCAGAAAAAAAAAAAGTGAATTATTTTTGATTTAATGAACAAAAAACTGAATTAGTGAATATTTGTGACAGAAATTTGGTTGGTTTCAGTTGTTTTTTTGAAAGCAAAGAAAAAAAAGCATTAAAAAAAAGAGAGAGAGAAAAAAAAAAGAAGGAAACTGAGATTTTGCTGTCAGATTTGACGATGATTACCAATCGGCAGTCAGAAGATGTATGACATTGACAACAATAGAATCTGAACAACAAATAGGTTTCCAAAAATTATACATCTTTTAAAATGTAATCCAGACTTCTGTTGTTGTTTCTGTTTCCACTTTCAGTGTTTCAAGATGTTTTTTTTCTTCTAATCATCAAAGCTTTTTCTTTCAATTTTTTTTTTTTTTTTTTTTTTTTTT